GCAAAGAAACTATAAAAGCAGTTAGGTTACAGAAAGTTTAAGGTGAGCTGAGTACAGTGATGTTAAGTAAGGTAGACAGGTGATGGGAGAATTAAAGTTTTCAGATCAAGTGTGACATTGGAATACCCGGTTAAGTCATCTTCGTCAGAATTATACAATGTTGTGTGTGTGTAGGGAGAACTTCATTAAGAGCAAAGATTTTTACTTGATGTCCTTTATTTCTGCAAAGTTTAGAAGCCGTAAATCATATGATAGCATCATAGCATCAACTATTTGTGGATAAGTACATACTCTGGATCACATGGTACAGGTTAAAAATTTGCAAGCTGATGCTAGAAGAGGAAAAAGAAAAGTCTGAAACAGGTCACATTTTATTGAGTATTGGGTGTACTTTATTTCCTGAAGCAAAGCTCTCTATAAGCATCCTCTGGCAGAGAATAAGAGCTTTGTAAACATGCTTCTGCTTCAAGCAAAGTTAGGAAGAACTGACCTGAAGGGAGATTTGCAGAGACAAAAAATGGAGATGTTTACAGAACATTGTATCTCTAGAACTCTACTCAAAAGAATTCTTATGCTGAAATAACATTTGATCCATAATTACAAAATGCAGGCCCAGCTTCAGAGGAAATTTGCCTTTTTAATGAAGATCAATTAAAATATATTACTCAAATACTCAAATTCAGTGTTCAGATGGAATGAAAAATATTAAAAGTATTTGTGATATATTAAGTATAATACGCATTAAATTTGGAAAACGGCCTGTATAGAATTTACATGGGCAACTTTTGCTGTGCAACATATCCAAGAACTAGTGGCTTAAAACAACCACCATTTATGTATACAGGATTGATGCGACAGGTCAACAATTAGAGTTGGGCCGAGTTCGATATTTGTTTTGGTTTGGCTAGACTTGGCCTATATCAGTTGGGTTTGTTTGTGCATTTGTTAACAATTAGTGACAATGGTGGCTTCTTTTTGATGGCCTATCTTGGTACAGCTAGGACCTATTTCTCTGTAATCTCTCAACCTTCAGCAGTAAACCATAACTTCATTTGCTTATGCTCACTGAATTCCAAGAGCTGGAGTAGAAACTTCCAGGTTTCTTGAGGTCCAGGCTCAAAGCAAATATAATAGCACTTCTGATGCATTTTAATGGTCCACCTATGTCACAAGGTCTGCTCAGATTCAACTGTGAAGGTAAATGAATCCATATCTTGCTGGGAATAGTTATAAATTACTGTGACTAGAGTTTCTTTATATGTATATACACATTAGTTACTTTTTTAGAATTTCATCTACCAGAATTTTCTTTATAGAATGCTTACTTTAAAAAGGAATGGGCTTATCGAGTCTATGGACTACCTATTAAAGACATTGGCTATCTACTCCTCATTCTTGTGGTCAGTTCATGCTCTGATAGTATTTAAGCTATTTCAAATCTGCCTACTTTTGTAGGAAAAAAACATCCCAAAGGAGACAACTTTAATTTAGTGAGTTGATTCAAAACTCACATTCAAGCATATATTGATCTTTGACTATGGTTCAATCACTTTGAAAGGTAATAGGGAGGGAAAAGATGAATAGGGCTAAAGACACAGGAGAAATGTCTCCACTCGAAGGGTTCATACACAAGGAAGAGGAAAATATCACTGAAAGAGTGTCTTCTGCTTGAGATGGGGCTCATCAATGGGGAGACCAAAGCAAACACCCTCCATAAAAGAACTGAGCCTAAGAAGGAATTTTCTAGGACATTAAGGAATAAGGGAAAATAAAGGCTGTATTTTCAACAAAGAAATGACACGTAAAGGAAAAAGTATAAAAGTAAGCTTGCTATTTTCAAAGAACCAAGAGTTACCCATTCTAACCCAGAGAGTGGATGATGAAGTGGAAGGTGATATGGTAGAAGTGGGGGAGTAGCAGGAAGCTGAGACTGACTGGGGTTTGTGGATATTAAGTCCCAGCGTCCTAGAGTATTGCTCTAGGAGTATTGCATTGCTCAAGGAGTATTGCTCTTCCTTCAGGCTTTTTTTTTTTTTTTTGCAGTGGGGGAGGGTGAGTGGGTGTGTCATAGGCATGAGTGCTATCTCCAGGTATGACACTTTCAACATAGAATGAAAAGAAAGTCACTCAGTATAAGCAAGAATATCAGGTGACCAGTTCAGATGTTTCTGATTAAATCTTGGGTACTTAAAACTGTGCACTAATTTGATTCTGTGGCATGTACATTTGTACATAATTAGTGAAGTTTGGTTTAAATACAAACCATATATATGTTTATGTGTATGTGGTCAAAAGGACTGAAGTGACAGTTATTACTGGCTTATTTAATTGATTTAACAGGGACAGTATTTTACATTAGTCTCATTCCATTGTTTTCTAATTGGTTTCCTGATGGGCTGATGCTCACTTCATTTTTTTTCCTTTTGCTTTGATTTTCCCAGAACCAATGTGCAGACACAACTGTTGTTCTCTGGGAGCAAATGTTTTAATGATATTATAAAGTTATTAATTGCCTTTTACTTAATTTCTTTCAATATAATTTTAGGAATTGGGAAAACTCCTTTATGTTCTATTTTAAAATAATTTATATGTTTGACTATATGTCTGTTTTAACTGTTACTCTAGAATTTTTATGAAATTATGAAATAAACAGAAATGTTAAAAAATATCTTCACCAATTGACAAAAAAAGGAATGTATTAGTGTAATGTAAATGTATTTTACAAGTTGAATTGTTCATCTGGTTAAGTTAAAGCAAGGAGGCATCTAAGGTGCAACTCTATTTTAAATTACTGATGATATTCCTTATAAGAGTACAGAAGGTGAAAGAATATGAAAAATAGCACTAAGAATTGAGCTTGTAAAAAATCAATTAATACTGGTTCATGGCCCAAATAGTTTTATGTACTACAGGAAGGCTTACTGATATTTTATCTGCATTTATAAATGAAATTATGATATACAGGAAATAAAGCTTGTATATTAATAGTGTGTGTTTTCCTATGAGGAAGGCAAAACCAGGAAATAATTCCCATCAGTAATCTGTTTAAAATGATGTATTTTGGGCCTCCCTGGTGGTGCAGGGGTTAAAGACACAAACAAGGTATCTCCAGCCACTGCAGCATGAGTTCGATCCCCGGTCAGGGAGCTGAATCACATGGTGCACAGACCTCTTCTGTCTTGCCTGCTGCTTCCCTCAGGAGTGTATTTCTGTCAGTCTGCCTGTTCTGCTCCCCACTCTGCTTCTTGTGATACCTCTCACCCTGCACCTCTGGCCTACACCCCAGCTCTTGTATGCATAAATAAATAAAATAAATCTTTTTTAAAAAACGATGTATTTTCTTTGGATTTAGATCATTCGTAGTGACAAAGTATTTAATGTATATCAGATATGGAAAAATAAGGCATAAGGAGATTCAAATATCACAAGCAAAAATTTAAAAAGAACAGGAATAATATTAATTTCTGTAAGTTGTTTATAAGGCAGAAAGCATCTGCATGTAGCGAACAAGAAGTTGAAGCCAGAGTGTGTTAAGGTGAATCAGGTGAGAATTCTGGTGCAAACCAGAGAGTTGTTTTGCTTGTATAATGACAGATATTTCAAAATGCACCACTTGCCACTGTGTACATGATCTTTTTTGCTCTGAATTAAAATTTCTGGCTCATCCTTTAAAGATGCTTCTTATGTCTGGCACGCAAATTGCATTTCTGAAAGTAGTATGTGGATATCTTCATGTTGGGGAGGAAGGTAAAACAAAGACAGAGCCCCTCACCTTCGCTGTGGTTTGAACAGTGGAACATGGTTGCAGTTAAAACCTGAAGTAGGCTGCAATGAGGTCATTATTTCATTGTTTTTAATCCCTACTTTGCAGGGTCTCAATTTCTGCCTTCAGCCCTACTATTGTCAGAGCACAACTAGAAGGTGGAGATGACAGAATATTTCATGAAATCACTTAGGATTAAATCTCTAAGGGTATTAACCAGAAAAAGAGGAGGAGGAGGATGAGAACCAGCTATTTCAGATATTGCTCTGGGCTGACTTTTGCTATAGATCCAGCTTTCATTCAGAGCCAGTTTTCACCATAATTTTGATTTTTGCTTTGTAAAATTTCCTTATTCATTGTCCCTCTATGGATAGAGCACTCTGTACACATCTTTGATTTTTTACATAATGCCAATGAATGTTATTTTGCTGTTTTTTTTTTTTTATCCCATATGAGCATGTGGGGGCAAAGAGTGTATTTTATTGATGACTGTATATATAGCATGTAGCAGAGGGTCTGGCATGTAGCAGATGTTGGATAGCTGTGTGGAGTAGCTGAAAATCTGAGTGAATGCCACATGCCAGGATCTTCAACAGTATCCTCCACTGCAGAGTTGTGACTGCTCATTCCTATGGAATCCTCTAAATTGTCTCCCATTTGGATATTGGGATTGTTGCCAAGATCTACTTCTGGAAACATTCACTTACAAAAAAAAATTTAAAAAAAAAAGGGAGTTGCAAACACAATCCAACATCTGGAATCCCTTATTTCTCTCAAGGAAGTTGGAGTACCAATGGGCAATGTCCATCCATCCTCATACTCTCACCCTTATGATGCTCTCGGCCCTGAACTCTCCTGACTGTAATTACATTTAGTTCATAAGAAGTTCTAAGTCTAAGGAAGTGAACTGGACCTCAAGAAATCATGGATAGGGGGTCAGAAGGTATCTGGATTATTCTATAAACTTTGGCAACTAAAGCATCTTACAGAGGGGGGATTTGTGATCCCACATTGTCTTTCTCTGATGTCCTCATTTGTATGATTTTACTTTGTGATTGGTCAGATTGTACCTTTCTGGATGCCTCAAAAGATCTTCCCACTTCAGAGAAGAGGAAGCTTGATCCCAGTGAGGTCAAAGTGCATGTCATGCTTAGAACCGAAAGGCTCCTACGTGTAGAATTCTGCTTTTAACTGAGACTTTTCTTTTATGAAGTCAGTGCTCACACTACTGCCACAGAATTCTAGTCCCTGTTTTATTGCCAATCACTCTGTCATCTGTGTGACTCTGGACATGTGAAGTAACTTTGTTCTTCTGTAAAGTGAAGGAGAGTAAATAGAAAACTTCAAAGGTATTTGGAAATCACCTTGGGACCTTGTTAAAATGAGATTATTCAGTGCGTATGGGCTAGGGCCTCAGTTTCTGCACTTCTTTTGAGTTCCTAGGTGAGGCTATTATACCTGGCTCACAGACCACACTTTCAATAGCAAGGTAACTTTAATAACTCCCTATTCTAGACTGAGTATTCAGTACAGAGATAGGGATAAAAGTATCCTCTATCAGTGATCCTCCAGGTAACATTAGATACACTCTACTTCTAAGGAACTAAAGGAGAAGAGAGAAGTCAATCAGAAATGTCCTGACATGATTGTTGTGTTGATGAGCAGCTTTGCATCCTTAACAGCAACTGCTATACAGGCAACAGCTTCCATGCAAGTCTCATAGCTCACGGAATGGAATTCCAGGCCATCTGTCTAGCCACAACTGGGGATGACTCTCCATCTGTATGCAGTATTTCCCTACTTTGCAATAATCATCCTGCTGCCAAGAAGCTCCAGAATCTTTAAAAACAGATATACACACAACTCATCTTCCAGAGACTGATGATAACAGGCAATTGAGCTAATGTTAGACAACACGTCATGGAATAAAAATATCTTTCTAATTCAGAGCAGATTTTGTTTGGTTTTGGGATAATTGGTGATATCCTCAGAATGAAATGACAGATAATTTAATACATTTGTAAAAGAAGTAAATCTTGTAGTGTTCCCTATTTAAAAGTCATATAAGCAGAAATGATAAATCACACTACTGTGAAGTAGAAAGGGAGAAGGGTGTGTATGGAAAAGAGTTGAAAGGAAGAACTTGATGCCACAGACTTCAGGGTCAATGAGTTAGTTTTCTGTTACAACCAAATTAGATGGGCCATTGAGGTTATAATTAAAGCATTTGAAAGCTATGATTTGGAGTCAAATTATTTTATGTAATTAGGATGTTTTGCTTTAATATTTCAAATTTTGCATTAGACATGAATATATCAGTGCTTCATAAAAATAATAACATGAGAAATTGTTGATATTGGGGCTAGAGAAGGTCCCGTCAGAATTGTTTTCATTCCTGAACATATTCTTGGCATACATTTCAGCAATCATGAAATTACTTCCTTTATTACTGCTAGTAATCTCACTGATCCTGAAATTTCTTATTTGTAAGGGTGACACCCTTCAAATAGTCTGTGATTTAAAATACTGCTGCTTTCCAAATTTATCTTTCCAATTTGATTGTCTATTACACACAGAGAAAACATCAGTGGATGTGTTTTTCTCTCACATGAAAGATGATGTAAGTTGTTATAATTTACATGGAATTTGTAAGCAAGAGGTACTTTTCTCACTGGTGAGATTTAAAAAAAAATTAAAAAGTTAAAAACAAAGATTAGGAGGTTCTTTTTTCCTTAGATTTAGAAGGCTTAAATTTAAAAGGATGAGGACATCAATGGTTTTCATTACTTTGCTTTTAGGAAATTCAAATATAAGCATAGATATAGTCAAAGAACCTGATTCAAAGATCAAAAGTTTTCTGACATCTTGATTAATATTTTATTACCCTGGTTTACGTTAAAAACTGCTGACCATGTAGATATACTTGCTAACTTTTATGTAATTTTGTTACACACATTAGGTTAAATATTAAAAGAATATGAGTCAAAGTCTGTATCAAAGGGTCGGAAACTCTTTACACATGATACAACTTAAGATATTCATAGGAAACAGTCATCAGAATAAATCTGGCTGTAGTTTTTTTTAATATTATTCCAAAAAGTTCCTGTATATTCCTCTAAACTATGGGAACACCAATGTATTTGGTATATAGATTTGACTTAGGTGCATACGTGTGAATAGATAAAGGTGGGTGATCTCAGAAATATCAGACTGTCTCTGTCCTCCATTTTACCCTCCATCCCATTCATTAATGCTTTGCATTCCCTATTACAAGAGGAAGTTCCTTTGAAGTCACCCTAAGAGAGGGAATATTTAGCATGCAACTGCCACTGGAAAAGGAATGCACCAAATTCAATTCATTCTAAAATGTGAATGACTCCCATAGATCTCTTCCAAATAGCCAGATGAGACTGAGGAAAAAAAAAAAAAAAATGAGCTGACAATAATTGTATAAAAATTGTTGACAGGGGCCCCCCCTGGTGGCGCAGCTGTTGAGCGCTGGTCTGCGAAGCTGCCCGTAACCTCTGCAGTGCCAGTTTGATCCCCGGCCACCAGCGAGGGTCCCACAAGATGCGCAGCCCTCTCCTGCCGCCCGCTGCTCCCCTCAGCCATGTACTTAGTGAGTCTTCTTGTTCTGTTCCCTGCTCTGTCTTGGTGAATCCTCTCACCCTCCCACATGCTGTACCTAGTCTTGTATAAATAATAAAATAAATACATCTAAAAAAAAAAAAATGTAGACAATAAATCCTTAACTGGATTATTTATTTATAGGAACTGGTAAAACAGGAAAAACTAAAGAGCAATTTATTTAAATCATTGAAGTAACTGATGTGTTTCCAGCTTAAGGTTTTGAACATTATTTTATAGAGTGCATTAGGAGTCTTCGAAGGTGCTTTAGGAGCAACTACAGAAAAAAATTGACCATATTCAATGATTCGGGCCTTTAGTTTAACCCAAGCAAGTTTGCTTCCAGTTAGTTAGATCTCAAAATTATATCTAACTTTAAAAATTATTTTGAAGCTGGGCCTCCCTAGTGGTGCAAGGGGTTAAGACACAACCTATGCCCCCCCACCCCCGGGTGGTGCAGCGTGTTAAGCACAGCACTGTGAAGATGTCCGCAGCCTCTGCAATGCAGGTTTGATTCCTGGCTAGCCAGGGAGATTCCCACATGGTGCAGCAGACCTCTCCTGTCCCGCCTGCTGCTCCCTTCAGCAGAGCTTTTGGTCTGTCTGCCTGTTCTTTTCCCCACCCTGTCTCTGGTGAATCCTCTCACCCTCCCATGACTCTGGCCTGTACTCCAGCTATTATATAAATAAAAAAAAAATAAATCTAAAAAAAAAGACACAGCCTATGAAGCTATCTGCAGCCACTGTAGTATGAGTTCGATCCCTGACCAGGAAGCAGCCCACATTACGCAGCAGACCTCTCCTGGCTCGCCCACTGCTCTCCTCAGCAGTGTGTTTCAGTACATCTGCCTGTTCTGCTCCCCACTCTGTCTCTGGTGGGTCCTCTCACCCCCCACATATCTGACCTGAACCCCAGCTCTTGTATCCATTAATAAATAAATCTTAAAAAAAAATGATTTTGGGCCATTTTAATCTGGGATACTGGGTTCATGCTTTTAAATGACCTTTCTGATCTATAAGAAAAAACAGGTAACGTCTTTGTTTCATTCCTATATATGGATTTGATGAATTTTCAAAGAAAACAAGTTAATCATTCTTGGGAATGGAAACAAAATATAAATTATGGCAGTGAAAAGAGGAGAGTCTCAGGCTTTCCGAACTCTGGATCCAGAAATAGGCAAAGGCAGCTTAGAGTTCAACTTCTGCTATATAACTCAGTTCAGAACCAACCTTCATGATGTTAGGAGTGGGGCTGCTTTACCTGTGAAAGGTGCCTGCAGTTGCCTGTGGTGTCTACTCAGATGTATATTAACGTGATAGAGAGAAGAAAAAGTAGTGTCCTGAACCTGGGTCAAGACAGTTGCTGGTTCAGTGATTCAATCTATGATAACCCCAGGGTCACCACACAAGGAAACCCAAGTCATTATGGGATTTAATTCCAAATTTGGTTTTGTAGAGAACTGGTGGCAGAAGCAGCAACATCCTGAGACAGAAATATAAACATAATGGAAAGAAAAACCAGACTTCCTGGGTCACCTGAGTAAGACTGGAGAAGACTCTATAGCTATTGAGGATCGTATACAGGATACCAGACTAGTTGTTTTGCTAGGCCAGCTCATTCATACTTATAGGAATTTGATACAAGAATGAGTAACATTGGCCTCATGATAGAGCCTAGGGAAATGAGACTTAGCTTATGTGATTGGTGAGAACAGTGTGATATAGGGCACGTTTTGGGGAGCTGGTACACAATCCTCATGGCCAAAATACAGTTCTTATGAATGAAAATGGAGCAATAAAAAATTTTTATTTCTATTCAATATGATTTGTGGATGATGGTAGTCTCCTCCATGTCCCCTGAGGTTATTAAAATTTAATAAAACCTAATTTTAATAGTAACACCAATATTGCTTAAGGCTTTATGGTTTCCACACAAAACTTCTTACTAGAGACAACAAACTTCTGTGGTAGGTAGGGAGGAGGTTATTAAGTCCATTTATAAATAAGGACAGGGTAGCTAAAAAAAAAAAAAAAAAAAAAAAGATATTTTCAAGATTGCCTTGACTGTGAAAAGCTTTTCAGTTATTCCACTGTCCCAACTTATCTCTGCATAATTTTTTCTGAGGAAGTCACACCTCCTTCACTGTTTACATTTCATCAGTTATGGAATCTATATTCAGAAGTCAAATACAATAATGGAAAAGACTAAAAATGACATTGTAATAGGAACATAGATGTAGACTTCAGATTTAGAGTTAAGATGTAATGCCATTTACTCTAGTATGGATGGGTAAATTAAACTCTAAGGATCAGTTTTATTCCCTTGTAAAATGGACACAACATGACTATATGTTACAGAGCTGTTGGAAGTACATAGATAACCTACCCCAGTGCCCTGAAATCACTGAAATAAATAAATTACTGAAATAAATAAAAGTGTAGCAGAGTCCACAAACACTGCCATTATGAAGGCACTCTGGGAGTTTTAAGGACGCTACAGAGAATCCAGGGGCCACTGATACACAGACCATTTGGAGGAAAGTGAAGCATTTCATGTTTTCTTTGAGGGGTGGGGTTTTGGGCAGAAGTATTCTTCATTCCAAGAATGGACTAGAGTCCCCTTTTGGGGGAGCACTTTTTCGTAAAAGAGCTTTTACGAAAGTTTAAAGATGTCCTTTGAATACTTTTGGTGTGGAGAGACATGAGTAATATTTCTGGGGCCTGCAATGCCCTTTGCTTGCTTTACATTTTTGGCTTTCCTGAGGTGAAGGGACCCCAGGGGCAGTGAGCATGGGCTGGGTTCTTAGGGCTGGTCCAAACTTCCCTACCTAAGAAGAAATTTATAAACAAGACCTTCAGCTTTCTTTCAGTTGTCATCAGTTGGTTCACCACGGTAGGCAAGAAGGCAAGTCTTTAGGGTAAGAATTTGGATCAGAAATACAAATTATACTTTTTCCTCCAACAACCTAATCTGCTTAGAGGGCCCAGGGATTAGAGCAAGAGAGAAAACTAAACTTTGGTGCAGTGCCTATTTTGACTTTATCTTTGAAAGTCCATAATGAGTCTTTGACAGAGATGTTTTGGTCCCGCTTTTACAGCAGAGTAAACTGAAGCAAAAAACACTGAAGTAGATCTGTTAAGAATTTAACAATTAATTTCTAATCTGGTATTAAATTCCATGTCTGCTTTGCTCGGAAGCAACTGTTTTCTACCATACTGCCTACTATTTTGTGTATCAAGTGCCTGCTCTTTTAAATTTTAATTGGGCCTCCCCTAGTGGTGCAATGGTTGAGCACTGGGCTATGAAGCTGCCCG